ATAATCCAGCAACCTCCAGTGCTCTTAAATTGTACCAGAAGAATATACATCCTTGCCTCTGTGTGGATAGAGCAAGAATGCAAATTAATGTTTATCAGATTCCAGGAATAAGCCACACTTCATGTATGTTTTCTTATTTCATCCTTAACAGCTCTGGAAAATAGATGTCAGTATCTCACTTTTGCTGATGGTATAAAAATGGGAAGAGTAAACAGAAACCTCATGGCCACACATGTATGAGGCTCCGTGAAAAAGAAAGAAAGAAAGAAAGAAAGAAAGAAAGAAAGAAAGAAAGGAAGAAAGAAGATGCAAAAACTTTAGCGCTCAGATGGAGAGTCTAGGAGGTGTTGGAATGGACATTCTGCTGGCAGGCAGCTGCATTCATTTGGGAAGGGAAGGAACAAAAGATTGCAGTGCACAGGAAAGGAAATCAGAACTAATTGCCTAGAAAAACAGACGGATGTTGGTGCCCATGAGCGCTGAGTTTACAGGTAATCAGTCCCTATCTGCACAGAGCTGTGGCTACCTGCCTGGGGCTGGATGGACATAATGCATTAGGGAGGGAAACACCCAAGGGTCACTGCAGGAGCATCTGAGGACATAAGTACCTTAGAAATCTTTTTCACCAGAGAGACCTTTTCACCAGAGAGACCTCTTGAAGGAGGGGGAGTTCCAGGGGTCACTGGATGACCCCAGAATTGACACAGACTGAATTCAAGGCTTCAGTGTACCTCTGTTATTAGGACACCAGACCCATCTATTAGATTGTCTCAAGAGCTCTTGAAATGGGATGGATGGTATGCTGAGTCAGTTGTTTCTTGAAAATAATTACATGATGAAGTTTATTAAAACTTAACTACCATCAGTGGATGTGGATGGGAGGACACTGAGGCCCAGAAAGGTTAACTGAATGGGAGTTCAGTTCATAGAACTAGTAAGTGGAAGGTCCAGCACTGGCTCAGGTCTACTCCATTCCAAAGTCTCTGCTCTTCGCTTGGTGCCTACATAGTCAGAGTTCACTGGCCCCGGCAAGACCTTCCTTCCCCAAAGGATAACTTAATAATGTCCTGATGTCAGGGCGCCTGGGTGGCGCAGTCGGTTAAGCGTCCGACTTCAGCCAGGTCACGATCTCGCGGTCCGTGAGTTCGAGCCCCGCGTCGGGCCCTGGGCTGATGGCTCAGAGCCTGGACCCTGTTTCTGATTCTGTGTCTCCCTCTCTCAATGCCCCTCCCCTGTTCATGCTCTGTCTCTCTCTGTCCCAAAAAAATAAATAAACGTTAAAAAAAAATTAAAAAAAAAAATAATAATGTCCTGATGTCTAACATAATGCAATTTTATGTGGTAATTTATTCTGTGAAAGGTGCGGTTTGTAGGATTTAAGTCCCATTAATCATTAGTACTTCTTTAAAATGAGCTTCTCAGTGGATGGTGTGTATTAATACCACGAGAGGACTTCAAGCACAGAGATCCCTATGGATTCCCATAAGTGTTCTGACAATTCAGTTCAATTCTGACATTAAATATCCAGCATTGTCAGGGACCCCACTGTTAAGGGCAAAGTCTTTCACAAGACTGGGCCCACTTCAGACACCAGCCTCAAGTTCAGGTATCCCAAGCTACTCACACCCCTTCCTGGCAAGGTACAAATCCCAAAATGCTCCTTTTCTACCCCAACAGGGTAATCTGCAATTCAGCTCTGCCACCCAGAGTTAATGTCAGATACCACAAGGGCTCAGTCCTTCACAGGATTGCCTTGTTCAGACACCCACTGTTCTTAGGGGGGCCAGGGGGCACATACCCCTCTGACTGTCTGTAAATTCAGGGGTTCCCATAAGCAAATTTACATAAGCTCTGATAATTCACTAGAATGACTCACAGAACACACTTCAAGTGCTTATTTATGATTATAGGGATTATTATTATAAGGTATTTAGATCAGGTTTAGCCAAATGAAGATATGCATAAGGCAAGGTCTTGGGGAGGGTGAAGACGTTCTGTTCCCCTTCCTCATAGAATCAGTGCATGATACCCAACTAGCACACCAATGTGCTCAACCAGGAAATTCCACCGAATGCGGTGTCTAGAGTTGTTTTTTTTTTTTTTCTTTTATGTTTATTTCTTTTTGAGAGATAGAGAGAGCATGAGCAGGGGGAGGGGCAAAGGGAGAGGAAGACACAGAATCTGAAGCAAGCTCCAGGCTCTGAGCTGTCAGCATAGAGCCTGATGCGGGGCTTGAACTCACAAACCTTGAGATCATGACCTGAGACAAAGTCAGAGGCTTAACTGACTGAGTCACCCAGATGCCCCCAGTTTTTATTAGAGTTCTTATTAGAGTTTCATCATATAGCGATCATTGATCAACTCACTTGCCACCCGTTTGAACTCAATCTCTAAGCCCCTGCACCCCCACTCAGAGGTTGAGTGGATAAAATTCCAACCCTCTAATTACAAAGTAGGTGTTTCTGATGACCACACCCTATCCTAAAGCTACCTAAGGATCTACCATTTGTCACCTGATTGGCACAGCAAACACTCTGACTCAGGAGATTCCAAGAGTTTTTAAAGCTCTGTGCAAGGAACTGGGCACAAAGATCAGATATATTCTTCATTATACCACACTGTGAGATGGGGAGATGATTTCACTAAAAGGGGGAAAGAGCCTAGCAGAGGAATCAGGGGTTCTCAAACCAGGCGATAAAACAATGAGTAAAAACAGATGTGGTCTTTGCCTAAGACCAGGAACTCTAGGAGAATCAACATGGTTTTGTGGTTGAGAACACAGCTCTGGGCACAGATTCTGACTCTCTACCTCTCACAAACTATCATATTTTAGATAAAACGACTGTGTAATCTCTCTGGTCTCATTTTCCACATCTACTTGATGGGGCTAATACTAAGCCTAACCTCAAAGTCTTGTCATGAAGATTTAACAAGACAATCCATGATATGCACTTAGAACAGTGTTTGATAAATGGTAAGATATTAGGAATAATAGTATCATAATCACCATAGTATCATAATAACCATCATTATCATAGTGGGGAAGATAGACATGGAATGTCTGTAAAATAATTATTACACAATTCTTTATGCAATGAAGGAAAGCAACTAAGTTGTATTATAGTTGTGTTTTTTACATCATGGGTTGTAACCCATTGATGAATCATAAAATTAGTTTAGGGAGTTACCACCAGCACTTTTGAAAAGTGTAAAAGAATAGACAATATCAGAGAGCATTGCTTACTGAAAAATTGTTTCCATTGCATCTATGTGTATGCATTTTGTATATGTTGTACTGAGTCACCATGGAAAATGCACTGTTATTTCAATTTACTGAACTAAGCTCTTTGAAGGCAGAATGACATTAAAATCATCTTTCAATTCCTAAAAGTCAAACATAGGGCTCAGTACAAAATAGACACTAGTAAATCTGTTTTCAATAAAAGGAGATTGATGGGTGGATGAATATAATTGAATTCTAAATGTCTTCATTGAGTATGGGATATGAACCAATGTTTTTGCTGTGTACTGAATGGGAGACAGAAACTCTTAAGTCCAGGGCTCTATCCTATAGACTTGAATGTAAAAAAACAAAACAAACAAACAAGCAAAAACCATAAAAACCGTGAGAGTACAATCCAAGAAAATATCGTTATGTTTATTTGACAATTATTTGATGGGCCCCTATTATATATCTAGCACTATTCTAGGAAAGGAGAGTAAAATACTGACCAGAGAACCCATCCTCATGTAACTTAAATTCTGGTGAGTGAGATAGAAAATAAGCAATCAGATACATAATATAATGTCAGCAGTGATAAGTCCATGAGGAAAAAGGAAGGAGGAGAAGAGGAAGGGCAGCATCAGCTGCCCTTTTGGATGGCAAGGTGAAAAGTTGGTGCGTGAGCACAGACCCAAATGAAGCAAAGTGCTGGGTCATATGGCCATCTTAGGAAAGAGTGTACAAGCAAAAAATAATCCAAGGGCAAATGTCTGAAAATGGGCCACATTTGATTCACCTGAAAAAGAGCAAGAAGGTAGGAGCGTCTGGGTGGCTCAGTCAGTTGGGCATCTGACTTTGGCTCAGGTCATGATCTTGCTGCTTGTGGGTTCGAGCCCCGCGTCGTGCTCTGTGCAGACAGCCCAGAACCTAGAGCCTGCTTCGGATTCTGTGTCTCCCTCTGTTCTGTCCCTCGGATTCTGTCCCTCCCCTGTTCACACTCTCTCTCTCAAAAATACATAAACATTAAGAAATTAAGAAAAAGAAGAAGAAGAAAGAGCAAGAACTGCTGTAGGTGGAGACAAGGGAGTGAAGAAATTGTGTGTGTGTGTGTGTGTGTGTGTGTGTGTTTAGCTACCAAAATGCTATGCATGATAAGCTCGACAAAGAGGACAATGAAGACCTCTTTGCGAGGCAAGAAAGGAAAATGTGCAATGAGCAATGGCTATATACTAATGACAGTGTATTCCCTTCTTTAATCCTCACAATAGCCACCATGACAATAATAATACCTAATAATATACTGATTACTGCCTTCAGCACTGTGTGTACAAACTCATTGATAAGAAGCCTGTGACACTTTATAGAGGAGGAAACAAGCTCAGATATTTGAAATGATTTGCCCAAGTGGCTGAAGCCAGCAACAGACAGACTTGGGTTTTTAATTGACTACTGTGTGACCCTTCATCCCAATTGACCTACCCCACAGACTCTTGGGGGGGATATTTCAGATTAGGTCATGCCTGGGTAGATCTGGGAGGAGAGAGCAGGGGTGAAAAAAAGGGCCACTTCAGGTACACTAGTTCAGACTAGAGTGATGTGGGTTGATGAGGCCCTAACATGGAGACTGCATAGCTGTAGTAGGAAGAGGGACCCATCTCAGGTGGCTCCACAGGCAGTGCTGTTCCCATCCTCTCTTTGTCAGATGCCAGCTGTCATCACAATGGAAAGGCAGCAGCCTGAACTGTCATGGCCCAGAGGAAATTCACAAGCAATGCAGGTACCCTCCAACAAAGCTAACAACTTTTTGGTCACAAGCAATAAGGAATCCAAAGGATCCAGGGTATTGAAGTAAAGTAGTTACCTTTGTGATGGTATAAGAATATTTGGAGTGACTGGGTGGCTGAGTTGGTTAAGCAGCCAACTTTTGGTTTTGGCTCAGGCCATGGTCTCATAGTTTTGTGGGTTAGAGCCCTGCATCAGGCTCCGCACTCCCAGTGAGGAGCCTACTTGGGATTCTCTCTCTGCCCCTCCCCACTTGTGCTGTCTCTGTCTCTCTCAAAAAATAAACTTAAAAAAAAAACATAAAACAAAAAAAGAATATTATTTGTTGCCTCCCTACCACTTTGCCCTTTCCGAATAGAGCGCTGTGTGAGGGCAGCCTGTCAAGGATGTTTTCTATCATGCTCCCAGATTGACTCCCATGCAACCGCCCACCAGCATCTTCTCTGGAGTCCAAAAACTTGGCAAGGCAAGAAAAGGTTCCATCTGAGGTGAAGAGAGGTGCTTATGCCCTTGTGCTCCTCCCACTGTAGGGAAGCACCTGTTCATTACAGCCTAGCCACACACCACCCACACTGCCACCCAACACATCCTATAGGACTAAGAGAAGGGCAGTTGTGTGTGCCAGAAGCAATGTCCAGTGGAAATGTATAGCTCCATGTGCAATCAAGACTTTAACCTTCCCAAAAAGAGGTCTGGCCTTTGCCCTTGGCTACTAGAAAATGATCTATGGGCCCTTGGAATGTTTCTTTGCCTAGGGATCTTGGGTCACACCAAGGTCACATTGGATAGCCTAACAATGTGATTGAGGGTAGGGACAGGATGCACTGGATAGTAACAATGTGATTGAGGTGAGGGCTTTGAGTCATGTAATATCAGTCAGTCTTTGGAGGGGCTGGAGACAACAGTTACCTGCATGGCCAATTGATGAATCATGCCTAACCTAATGGAGCCGTAGTAGAAATTCCAAATACTAAGGCTCAGGTGAGCTTTCTTGATTGGTAATAGTCCATGTTGATTGTCACAAGTCAACATCAGGAGAGAGACATCATCCTGACTCCACAGGGAGAACCACTGAAAATTCCACATTTTGGACCCTCCTAGACTCTGCCCTCTATGCTTCTTGCTTGGCTAACTTTCATATGCATCCTTTCCCTCTAATAAACTGTAACCATGAGTGTAACAGCCTTCAGTGAGCTCTGAGTTTTTTCTAGCAAATTATTGAACCTAAGGTTGGTTTCAGGAACCCCCAAACTTGCAATTGGTTTCAGAAGTAAAGATAGTCTTGCATGGACTGCTCCCTCTCATACTTACCTGCAAATGGATGAGGCATGGGCGTCTTTCCTCTTCCCTTGGCTAGCTACATCATCTCAAGTAATCCACTTACTCTGGAATCTGGCTTGTGCATCTGCAAAGTGTGCATAATGTATATCAGATATGGCTGCTAGATAATTAAATCATGAGTTAAAGTCAGGCTGACCCACAGAATAAAGGGCAGGAATCCAGAGACCATCCACTACTCTTCTCTTACTCCTTCTGGCCTTTCTGAACAAACTAGGATAACTATTTACTTCCAAACTTTAATTTTCCTGCCCTTTACTGGAAAGAACTACCCCATACCTCCCTGTGGCTGAGTCCTTCCCAACACGTAGGTCTCTACTCAAATGTCTTCTCTTCCAAAGGGTTTTCCTTAATGCTATCCAACTTAGTGCCTCACTCTGGGCACTTCCTACAACATCTTTCTGCTTTACTTTCTTCATAGCAATTATCTCCAGCTGTAATTCTCTTGATCACATCTTGATTCATGGGTTTAATCTCCATCTTTCCCTCTGAAATTAAACTCTGAAAAAGCAGGTCCAAATAGGTCTTGTCCATGGCTATGTCTGTAGATTCTATAGTCGTACCTGACCTGTGGTACAATGGCTATTTGTTGAATTAATGAACTTCTTCCTTTAATTGGAGAGAAAATAACAAAAGACTGGAATAGAAAAGGAGCCTGCCACATAGCACACATCATCAGGATAAGCATATTTAGCTAAAGCTTTTCCCTGTTGTGTCCAAGTTTCCTCACCTTTTAAACAGATTTGAATTTTGTTAGAATTAAGTGAGATGAATATAAAATTGTTCCAAAGTCCAAGTTTTGAACTCACGCTAGTTGCTCCTATTGTGAAACCAGTAGTTGGTGGTGGTGGTAGTGGTGGCAGTGGTGGTTTGGTTTGATTTTGTGTCTTTTGGGTTTTGTTTTTGCGGGAGAGAGGTTATTTGTTTGGTTGATCATGTTTGGTTTTTGTTTGTGTTTTTGTGATGAAGCAAAAAAGAAATGCCACAGTTATAAGAGAAGTGTATCAAAAGAAAACTTTAGCATGTAAGTGGAGGAGGCAGATGAAGAGGGTGGATTGGGTGTGTCTGTGCTATGCTTCGCTTACCAGGCAAAGTACCTTCCCTGTAAGCCCCTTTTGGGTCTCTTTTAGTGTGACTGCTGGGAGGGTTAAGGGTAGCAGTGTGCATAAATCATTGGCACATTATGAGGATCCACAATATTGGACCTCCCTAGGTTTTGCCCTGGCAAGTGCATCAAGAATTCAAACACTGGCATTTCCCTGCTTTGGATAGGAGTTTGGCACTTATAATTTTTTTTTTTTTACAGAGTGGGAAAGAAGGCATTAGACAGTGACAAATGTGTCTCCTGAAGGTAACTTAATGCAGATTCCAAAAGCAGCATTCTCTGCTTCTCTGGAGAGTTGGTCCCTTTCTGCAGACTGACAGAGACACAAGCAGATGTTGGTACTTACACTTTTACCTTGATGGCAGGTTATGAACAGAAGGTCAGATTAAACTTGGAGATGTGTGTGTGTGTGTATGTTTGTGTGTGTGTATACTGTTACTTTATTTTCATAAGGAAAAAGACAATGAGAAAGAACCTTGAATTCAAACGGAGCCAGGAATAAAAATCCAGTCAACACAGCCACATGAGTGACTTTTGGGCATGTCCCTTCCATTTCGTTGCAGTCACCATGTTTACCCCCAATTCCCATCCTCCCCTATTTAAAATAGCCCTACTTGCTTGGGCATTCACATCTCCTCCTGTGTTTTCCTCCAAGTCAATTCCACACAGCTTTAAGGTAGAGCACGTGACTCCTCAGCAAATCTCACCTCCCCCACATAAGTTACTGGTTCGGGAGGGGCCAGTCAATCCAATTTGGGTAATAAAACTGGAAAATGTTTACCTAGTGGCTTCCAGGGAAAATAATCCTCTCTCTTAAGAGAGATTTCAGAAGAGAAACGTCCTTTCTCTTGATATGGACCCAGAAACCTCCCTCACTGAAGCTTTGGGCAGCCACCTTGCAACCACAAGGGGGAGCCAGGAGATGACAGTAGAGGGAAAGAACCCAGGTCCTGCCATTACCTAGCTGTTTAATTATGCAAGCCTGGGCCTCAAATGCCCAGAGAAACTTTCCAGGAAAGTTGAGCTAATAGAGTTGATTTGTCTATTTCTTGAATCGAAACACATTTACATCCTACCTAATGCAACTGGTTGGCTCCTGGACTCATCAATTTATTCATCCCACATCTTTTATTCCTTCTTTTATCCATTTATTCGTTCAACAAACAGATCACCATTACTTAACTGGGGACTTGCAATAGACTCTTTAAGCTCACAGTTTAGAGATAAATACAAAACCAAGTTTTATTAAAATAAAAAAGGATTCAGTCCAGTAAGATAAGTGCCATAAGGAAGGTGATATAAGATACAGAGTGGCACAAAGAAAGCATCAATCAACTGTACCTTGGACAGAAAAAGAAGAGTCGTCAGGGTCTTGAGCAGTGAGGAGACATTCTTTCCAGGCAGAAGGAGGGCAATGTTACATCAGGCAGAAAAATAAACATGTTTAAGGATTCAGAGGTGCAAAATAGCAAGAAAGAGCTCAAGGAAGAACAAGCAATTCAGTATGACTGGAGTGTGTGGACATGAAAGGGAAATGTCGGGAGACAAAACTGACAGCTAAAAAAGGGAGGATTTGAAGGACTTTGCATGCCACTATTAGGGAGACACTAATGGGTTTTAGGCAGTAGTTTTCCATTCTATAGGTTCTCCCAAAGTCACCCTTCCTCCCTCCAGAAGCCTTCCACGACTACATACATATTTCAGTGAGCCTTGAAATGCATTCTATCCAACTATCCAATTTGGTAGCACACAACACTAAGGCATGACATGTGTCCAAGACCCAGAGAAGCCAGTAACCAGTGTCTCACTTCTCTCTCTGGAGTGAGTACTCCATTAAGGCAAGTCAAACTAAATGGAGGACCCCTAGTGACTTCAAAGTTACCCAATGGCATTTGCCTTTGAAATAAATTAAGATCTCTTGGATCCATTATTACCAAGAAAGTTTTTTGTGATATATTTCCAAGGAGTCATTGGCAAAATAAAAGCATTTATTTTATTTTATGTGTTCGGTCATACATTCATTTATATGACAAACTCTTAGAGTTTGGTACTAGATAAGTTGCTAAATGATTAAAACCTGTATTATTATCTTTGACAGCTTCTTGATTCTTTTTCTCAGAACTGTAAAAGCTTAGCAAGTCCCATAAAAATGTATGTGCCTTCCATGGCAGCCAGGCTGCCAGGGCAAAAGGAGCCCTGAATATGCAATACCCATTCATCCCCAGTGCCTTTGCTCAAGATGTTCTCCTGCCAGGAATGCCCTTCCTTCTGTTTACTTTTGCTTTTGCTCATCAAGGCCAAATTCAAGACCTACCTCTTTCCTGAGATCAGATTACAAAGAAAGCACTAGACTGGCAATGAGGCGATTTAGTTGCATTAGGTTTGCACAGTCACTTGAAAAGCTGAGCATGTTTCTCCAATAGTAAAATAAGAGATTTCAACAGATCAGTTCAAGATACAGGTATTGAGCAATTAGCTTATAGATTAGACTTTAATAGAGGCTGACATATAAAGATAAGTATGATACTATCTCTTTTTTTGAGGATTTCTCAAACTGCATGGGGAAAGACATACAGAGATACATACAAAAATAATTACAATAGCTAGATATTATTACATAGTATGGGAGACTGTGTCAATGTTTTCCAAAAATGCACCAAGCTGGTATTCTGTAATCCCATCCTCTGATAGTTTTTTCAACATTTTATACTTAATTCATCACGCTGTTTATATGAATTAAACTTTTTTTTTCAACTCAACTAAACCATAAATGTATTTTTTGAAGAAACACATTTGCAATATGATTTAGAGTTAGCAAAAATATTTCATTTGTGATAGCTAATTAAATCATCACATTAAATTATTAAGCTATATTATTTGTCTTCTATAGAAGAAGAGGCTCCAAGAAGATAAGCATCTTATTCAATCTCATACAAGTAAGTGGCAGACCCATGGTACAAGATTAACTGGTTTCCTTTCTGCGCCATGATGCTCAGTCCTCATGCCCTTAGGTCAGAGTTCTCCCTCTCTCTTTCTCTCTCCTTCTCTTTCTCCCTCTCTCTTTCTCTCTTTCGCACACATGCTCATCTCTTATTTAAAATTTTGTTAAGAGGGGCACCTGGGTGCCTCAGCTGGTTAAGTGTCCAACTCTTGGTTTGGCCTCAGGTCATGACCTCACGGTTTGTGTGTTTGAGTCCCACGGTGGGCTCTACACTCTCAGTGCAGAGCCTACTTGGAATTCTCTCTGTCTCCCTCTCTCTCTCTACCTCTCCTCCACTCGTTCTCTTTCCTCTCTCTCTCTCTCATTCTCTCTCTCAAAAATAAATAAATAAGCTTTAAAAAAACTGCTAAGAAGCAACATTATAGAGATGTGGAAGCCTATACAAATTACCTCCCCTTTTACACCACTCTTATCCTAAAATGCCTCTGCTTCTTCCACTTCACCTACTTCATCAAAACAGATACCCTTCTCTTCTCTATGTCTAACCCCTTGTCACACACCTGAATAATCCCTCCCACCCACATCAAGACTTTTCTCTAGGAGCGCCTGGGTGGCTCAGTCAATTAAGCATCCGACTTCAGCTCAGGTCATGATCTCATGGTTCCTGGGTTCGAGCCCATGTTGGATTCTGTGCTGACAGCTCAGAGCCTGGAACATGCTTCAGATTCAGTGTCTCCCTCTTTCTCTACCCCTTCCCTCCTCCTGCTCTGTCCCTCTCAAACATTAAAAAACAATTAAGACTTTTCTCCATTGAATCTTCCCTCTTAGTGTCTCTTCCTTTCTTTCACTAAAAAATGTTTACATGCACCCTCATCCCAAATCAACATCATTAATTAAGGCTATTCTATACCAAGCCTTGAGTTGAATATTGGGGTAACAAATATGAATAAAATGTGAGTTTTGTCATTGAAGAGCTCGTCCTCAAGTCTTAGGAGACAAGCAAGGTCATGGCATTACCTCATGCAAGGATCTCTTGTTCTCACTGAAATTCAGACATAGATCAAGAGAAGATTGTAGTTTAACAAACCAAGAACCATGACATTCCTGTCCAAACACCCAATCACACATTCAAAACTAGTCAACTTACCACTACCTATAAAAGTCCCAGTTATTGTTTAATCCCAAAGCCTGACCGCATGGTGTTCTCTACACCATAAATGCCTCTTCAAAGATCTTAGGCTGGCAATCGCATCCTGTTCCTCAAAGTGTTCTAGTTTTCTTATAATCATAAGTTTGCTTCCTACATTTTGCAAAATTAAGCAACTTTTGAGGTTTGGCTCACATTCATTGGCATTCTTCTGCTTGACCCCACATGCTTTTGAAGAAGGAGGACTCTGCATTCATGAACAAGAAAGAGACAGGCCCCAGGAAGGGAAGAACTCATCACACAAGGACTCACAGGTGGCCAATGGGTCTGGAATGAAGGGAGCAGAAGGCAGTGATGTGTGCAGAAGCTGAATCAGTAGGAGGAAACAGGTTGATACCTTAGAAGCCAAGCTATCAGTTTTTGACTTGATCTTTAAAAGACTGAAAGTCATTTAGGATTTGGGGTTGGGGATGCTGTGTCAGATTTCCTTTCTGAGGAGATGATTTAGTTTGTTGTACAGAGAAAAGATGCAATGGGGAGTAGCTGGAGGGCAGCTGGTCAGGAAGACATTATAGATGTTGAGGAGAGGCGAAGGTGGCCCGGACTCTACCCTGAGAAGAGTATGAACGAAGTGCAGCCCGATGCCACCCGCAAGCAGAGCCATATGGCTCCGTTCTGTCTCACATCTGGCCCATCACTCTCTCCCATCTGTTGCCACCAAGTGGGTGCACAGAGAATAGCTAATGACAAATACATTCACACAGGGACTGGGCAAGGCCAGACAGACAGTTGAGGACTAGAAGAATGTATGAAACTCTGAGGCACACACTTTTTGTGAGGATTAGATGAGAAGGGGCATATCAACTTTTCGGTGCAGGATGTAGAATACCAAATGTTTGGTAAGCCATCCAGGATTCTGAAGAACAGAACCACTTGAACACAACCAAGTTTACATTAGGATGAGGCTGCTTAAGGCAATGTTGCTGGTGTAGGAAGAGCCACAAAGAACCAGAAAGGCAGGGAACGGCATTGAGCCTGAAGGTCTAGCCCACGATAGAGTCAGGTGAATGAGTAATGAGGCTGGAATCTCAACAACCTGAAAACAGTGTAGAATAAGAGATGAGGGATGGGATAGACAAGGGGTTCAGACCTGAGGCCGTCAGCCAACAACAGGACGGAGCTGCCATAGTTGAGCAGCAACCATCGTATGGGGCCGAGCAGGCTTGCAGGCTGAGGAAATTGTGCAGAGCAGATCTCCAGAGCAGAATCCTGGGTGCAGCACCTAAAAAGGACAGGGAACATGCTGCTTCCAGAAGAAGGACACCACTCCCACCACTGGGCTCCAGACCTCATGGACCTCATGTGCTCACTTACACGATTCTCCCTAGCAGCAAGGTGGAAGGAGTAGCTTGTTAACCTTCTCAGTAGCTCACCTGCGCTGTTTGTACATGGGGATCCAGGAAGCTGCCACTCTCCCAAAGAAGAAAACAAATACTGGTGATACAAAAAAAAAGCCTTAATATTCGATTCCTTTGAGATTCGGTGGAGCTCTCTAAGTGAAATCCCTGAATCACGGATAAAAACAGAGTAAGTACAGATGAAGAGGTGCCATCTCTCAGAATGCTCTGAGAAAAGCAGGAAGCCAACTAGGAGGACCACTGCTATGAGAAGTGTCCAACCAGAGATGTGTTCAGAAAGAGGGCCCAAGAAACTCTTACCTATCCTAGAAAGTGTTCAAAGGCTGCAACTGAAAGTCTTTGCTGTCACAGGCTAAGGACCAGAAGAGAAAGAGGGGGAAGACTCATGGTCATCAGTGCTCAGAAAGCAGCAGATTTTGGTGGATGCAGGCTCTGGGGTTAACATGCCAGAGATCAAGACCCTGTGAAAGAACCCAGGTGTCTCTAACACCATGGGGCAGCAGTCACCTTATCTGTAAAGTGTGCACACCCATAAACAATTTTTCAGCAAGATGGCTTGATTTTGAAATAAGATAAAATTATGTAAAGCACCCAGCATGGTGCCTGGCACACTTGAGATGTCCCCTGGGTTCATGCATTTAATGAATGTTTAATGAGCTCCTACTATTCACTAGATAGTTCCCTGAGTACTGGGGATGTGGTAGTTAGAAGAAAAAAAAAATTCATGTCCATATGAAGCTTATATTTGAGGGAGGATGACAAAAGAAATAGGTCAGCAGAGATTCTAACATGGGATGTGTGTGGCGTGTTCAAGCAATTGTGGTTACAGTTTCTTTTCCTTCTCCTCCTGTCCCTTCAAGACCACTCAACACACGTCCTCTGTGGGCCTTCCTGTCTTCGGTCTTCAAGCTGTATCATCTCTTGGGGAGATGTCTTCCAAACCTGTGCCCATTCTGTGAAAAGTTCCTCTATGGAAGTAGAGCAGGTGCCTCCTTCAGAGAAGCAGATTTCCCTCAGAGAACTAACCTGTCTCCAAGCCTGACAACTGGCAGTGGGCAGGTGGTCCTACCCCCAGGCCTTGCAGGTTTCTGCTTATCACAGCTGCTCAGAATGCCTTCGGATGCCTGTGGCAGCCTGGGCACATGCCTCGGAAGGGAAGCAGATTATTCACAAGAAGGAAGTGTGAGATAGAAGATGTAGTGAGAACGGGGAAGGGGAGCAAAGAGACCCACAGCCACTCCCCCTTCTGATTTCTGACCAAAAAAAAAAAAAAAAAGAGAGAGAAAAAACCCAAAGGCTTAGATTGTGTTCCTCAGAGGCTCTCCCCCCACTGGTTAATGGAAAAGGCAGGTGGGAAGTGAAAAGGCAGAAAGGAAATGTGGAATGTTTTCTTTTGCTTTGTTGGCTTTGGAAAGCTAAAAAAGAATCCACCACCTGTGATTCTAGCCCTGATTGCAAAACACTCTGTTCTTTTAGCTCTGAGTCTGTAGTTAGCAGATTGTCAGTTTAGCCTCACAGCAGCATCGCGGCCAAAAAAGATTAGACATTTTAATTTCCTGAGCAGGTGCAGGCATCGGGACTGGTTTCAGAATACCAGTAAAAAGTGGAATAGAGGTGGAGAAGAAAAGCAAGGACTGTGGTGGAGCAGGGTGGGTGGGCAGAGGAGGAACAAATGAGGCAAAAACAAGACGAATGTAAGCATGTGGGAGAAGAAATACAAGAAATAGAAGAGGGTGGCAACCAGAAGGGGACTGAGGGTACCTCAAGGAAATTACTATAAATTTGGAGATCAAAGGGAAGGGGGCATTCCGTACATCTGCTCCCATGTTAAGCTCAACCTCACATATGATCAGGGTCATAATTAATCCACAGTGGTTTGTGAAAATGTGAAAAGATTCTGTGGCCCCAGCAGACATGGCAGCTGTTCTCACGGCCTGTCTTAGTGAGCAGAGCTGCATTTCACCGCCATACATGCACCATTGTGCAGATCTCAAATGTACACCTCTGCATGATGGTCCCTTTCATACTATAAAATGGTCCCTTTTCATACTATAAAATCGATTTTAAGGAAGGCAGCAGGACTTTGGAATGTTGAGACAGAGATGTTCTATCATGAGATAAAAGAAAGCAAAGTGGCAAGTGGGGAGAAGAAAAAGGTGAAAGAATGCAGCTCTGAAAACTTGGCTGTGAGAATGTCAAATAGTCAAAGGCCATATCTCCAAAGGAGGAGCACATTTCCTAGAATAGAGCCAGTGATGTGGGAGGATGAGAGTCAAGGCACCTGCCCAGGCCCCACCCTCTGGGATTCTTTCCCACCACCCTCTCAATCTCAGTCAGCCAATGAATGAAGAAATGCATTTTTGAGTCCACTCAAATGCATTTTGAGTCCATTTTGATCCTATCCCATCCCAGCCTTTCAGTGATGTGGGAAAGGGAGGGAACATGGAGATGATGTAATGATTACCTTATATGTGCCTGAGGTCTGTGTTTACACAAATTTATTTAATAAGCATTTATTGTGCACTCACTATGTGCTAACCATTCCGCTAGGTACTGGCCGTATAACTGCACCAAGGTAATCACCATCTCTTTGCTCATATGACCATTGTGATTATGACACAAGATAAAGTGAAGGCAGTACACAAAATTATTAAGAACATGAACAGGTATGGTAATAATAATAATGGTTCCTGTCTCATAGAATTGTTTAATGGCTAAATTAGATGATATGAGTGATTGAACACAATGCATGGTTCAAAGTAGGTTATCCATAGCATTACTTACCTTCCCATATTTCTTCTTCCTTTCCAACTTTAGAAATGAGAAGAAATAGTTTCAGATGGACAAAGCTAGAAGAATGTTACTGTCACCATTACAATATAAACAATTTCAGGAAAAATTTCAATTACTTTTCTTACACTCGTTAGGGAATTCAGGTCACAGGACAAAAATCTGAGAATCTAGAGAGTCACCACAGAGAGAAACAAGGCCCACCAAGACACCCAACAGGACTCAATAATGCCAGTAGGAAGATTCAGAGAGAAAATTTTAATGAATTTCTAAAATCTGAATGTGGTCTAGTTTGAGAGTGTGAAACCTCTTTGACCACAGACACAGAGAGGTCCACACTTTCTTTTTTAATTTATTTAGTTAAATTAATTAATTAATTTTTATTTCTAATTTTAAGTTTTCACTTTAATTCTAGTTAGTTAACACACACTATTATATTAGTTTCAGTTGTACAGTCAAGAAACAGACTCTTGGGGCGCCTGGGTGGCTCAGTTGGTTAAGTACCTGACTTCAGCTCAGGTCATGATCTCGTGGTTCGTGAGTTTGAGCCCCGCGTCGGGCTGGGAGCCTGGCGCCTGCTTTGGATTCTGTGTACCCTCTCTCTCTGCCCCTCCCCAACTCATGCTTTGTCTCTTTCTGTCTCTGAAAAATGAATAAACCTTAAAAAAAAATTTTTTTAAGAAACAGACTCTTAATTATAGGTACACACCCTCTTGAAAGCATTTCCTCCAGGACCCCATTAGGCATTCACAAGGAAAATCAGAGAACCCTGAGAAGGCTCCCCCACAGAGCTGGCTGGGGGATATGGGGCAGTAGGTATTGCTGAGATCCATCCACAACCATTTTTCTGTCTTCCTTACAGAACAGAAACATTAATCTACAGGAGAAAAGGTAACAAAAACAGTAGCCCAAGGGCACTTGAGAATACCTACTACAACTGGTGGAAGGGAATAGGGGGAAAAAAATCTACCCATGGAAGAAGGGTGCACATACATGCTATGCCCATATGATCTTTGGGAGAACGGGTAGAAAAACTTGTGAAAGCCATAGCCGCAAGACACAGACTCAATGACTGTCTAGAAGGAAGGTTGAATTATAACTTCAGAGAATAACCTCACTCTTACTTCCCACATTGCGCTAACAAGCTCTGAGTAAAAATGAAGGGATAGGGCTAGGAGCACCGTGAGAGAAAGATTTTATCTGACATGCAGTACAAAGTAAAGATACAGAGGTTAGTAGGTAGAACTAGAGCCAAAATAGGAGCAGGTTTTGAGGAAAATGCTGTGGTTTATTAGCTCATGCACTAAACACAACATTGCACTGGTAGAAGCAGAAGTCTCTGATGCATGAGGACAGTAAAAGTAACAACAAACTTCAAAAAAACTTCATTTTCAACTGGATAACACAAACCTTCCCACACTGAAATCAACAGGAGACAAAAGCTTGCTTTTCTTCCAGCACAAAAATATTTACTTAAGTATACAACATGTCTGACTTTTAACAACAGCAAAAAATATGGGACATGCCAAAAGGCAAGAAAAAAACATAGCCTGAAGAGACAAAGCAATAATAAGTATCAAAAATGGATATGATCCAGATTTGTGTAGGTTTTTCCTCCATTCATCTCATCAGGTGCTCTTAGGAAAGGAAGTATCAGGCTCTGTTAGAAAAGGTAGAAAAAATAGATGACATGAATAATCAGATAGGCAATTTCATCAAAGAAATGTAAACCATTAGAAATAATATGAAAATATCAGCAATCTAAAATACAGTAACAGAGATTATATATTAAAAGAAGATCTCAACAGACCTATTAGTGTTGTCAGCATAGCCAAAAAAGTATGAGAGAACTTAAAGACAGGTCACTAGAAATTACTCAGCTGAAACACAAATGAGCAAAAAGTAAAACAACAACAACAAAAATAGAGCACACAAAATATACAAACAATTAGATCCCAAAAAGAGAAGAGGAAATCAGAAAGAAGAAATAAGTGCCAAGATTTTTCTAAAATTTGTGGCAGACAGCAAAACAAAAATCTAAATAGCTCAAAGACAGTAGGCAGCATAAATATCAAATAAACCACAACTAGGAATATTATATTCAAACTGCTGCAACCAATGACAAAAAGAAAATCTTGAGTGCAAGCAGAGAAAACAAAGAACATTGCCTACAGGAGATCAAGGACATTAATTACATAAGATTTATCATTGATAATAATGCAAGCAAGAAGACAATGGAGTGACACCTTCAAAGTTTGGGGGGGGGGGACATCAATCCAAAATTCTGTACCCAGTAAAAATGTACTTCAAAAGTGAAGGAGAAATGAGATATTCTCAGACAAACAAAAACTGAGGTAGCTCACTGTAGACTAACATACTTTATAAGAAATGATTTTTTAAAAAGTTATTCAGACAGAAAGAATATGATATTTGACAGAAACTTGGCACTACATAAAGAAATGAAAAGCATTGGAGATAGAGTAAGTAGAGGTAAAATAAAAAATCATTTTCTTTATTTTTAATTTCTTTAATTTCTTTAAATTCTTAAAAATAAGTGACTCTTTAAGGCAAAAATAGTAAAAAACAAAACAAAACAAAACAAAACAAAACAAAAAAAAACATCTTATGTGTTTAAGGTATATATGTAGGGGCACCTGGGTGGCTCAGTCAGTTAAGCGTCTGACTTCAGTTCAGGTCACGATCTCACAGCTGGTGGGTTTGAGCCCCTTCTTGGGCTCTGTGCTGATAGCTCAGAGCCTGGAGCCTGCTTCAGATTCTGTGTCTCCCTCTTTCTCTGCCCCTCCCCTGCTTGCTCTCTGTCAAAAATAAATAAACATGTAAAAAAATTAAAGTATATACAACAGTCATATTATGCTAAGCAAAATAAGTCAGAGAAACAAATATCATATGATTTCACTCATGGGTGGGATTTAGGAAAAAAAAATAAATGAACAAAAGGGAAAAAGGGGAGCCAGAGACAGAGAGGGAAAGAGGCAAACTAAGAAACAGACTCTTAATCATAGAGAATAATCTAATGGTTACAGAGGGGGAGGTAGGCAGAAGGACACATTAAATAGGTGATGGGGATTAAGGAGTGCACTCGTGATGAGCACCACATATTTTATGGAAATGTTCAATCACTATATGGTACACCTGAAACTAATAATATGCTGTATGTTAACTATACTGGAATTTAAATAAAAACTTAAAAAGTAAAGTGTATATAAAAGTGAAATATATGACAAAAATGGCATAAGTTGTGGATCGGAGGATTTAGGGAAATACTATTAGAAGATTCTGATGAGTGACATTAGCATAATGGTGGCACCAGACATTCCTCCTTTTGCCTTTCTCCTTTAACAATTAGACAATTATCCATGAGCAAAAGAGCCACTGTGGAAGTTGTGAGATCCAGAACCATATGCCAAGGGGCCCAAGAGGAGTCTTGCCCACCAGTGCATCTACTAGTAAGCACAGAGATCTCAGTATGGGTGGTCAAGCAAGTAAGGACAGTGAATCTGTCCCAATGCCTGTCACTCCAGTCAGGAAGAAACATGGAGAGTGTCAACCTAGGAAATTATCCAAGCACAAGAGAGAATTTGTTTCAGTCTTGTCTTCCCAAGAGGAGATTCTAGCACACCACTCGAGCAAACATAAATATGAATTTGGACAGCAGAACATGGCTGAAGAAATATACTTCTCTACAGCAGCACCCAGAGTACTGAGGTGGGACATTGTCCTACGCATTATAATGAATATGTCAAAAATCAAAGGTAAACAGAGAATTCTAAAGAGGCCAAGGAAAAAAAGTATTATAACACACAAAGGAACCCCCACTAGGCTACTAGCAGATTTCTCAGCAGAAACTATAGGCCAGGAAAGACTGGAATCACATATTCAAAGTGTTGAAAGAAAAAAATTCCAGACAAGAATACTGTATTCAGCAGTTATCTTTCAGATATGATGGAAAATAAGACTTCTCAGAAAGAAGAGGAAGAGGAAGAAGAGGAAAAAGAAGAAGAAGAAGGGGAAGGGGGAAGGGAAGAGTTGCTATAAGACTGCATCACCACTAAACCTGGCATGCAAGAAATGCTGAAAGGAATCCTTCAAACTGACATGAAAGTCTGTCAATCAGCAACATGAGAACATACAAAAGTATACAACACACTGATAAAGGTAAATATACAGCCCGACTTAAAAAATTCTAACGCTGTAATAGGATGATGTGTAACCACTTAACTATAATTTAAGGTCAAAGTAAAGGAGTATTAATGATAACTATAGCTTCAATAATTTGTTAACAAATACACAAAATAAAAAGGTAAATTGTGACTAAAAAATATAAAAATGGTGGTAAAATGATGAAGCTTTTGTAGGTGATGAAAGTTAAGTTCCTATCAGCTTAATTATTTTTTTAATGTTTATTTACTTTTGAGAGAGAGAGAAAGACAGAGAGAGAGAGAGAGAGAGCATGGGGCGGGGGAGGGGAAGAGAACGAGGGAGACAGAATCTAAAGTAAGCTCCAGGCTCTGAATTGTCAGCACAGAGCCTGATGTGAGCTGTAAGATCATGACCTGAGCTAAAGTCAGACATGTAACCGACTGAGCTACCCAGGTGCCCCAAGTTCCTTTTAGCTTAAACTGGCCTGTTTTATCTATGAGATATTTTTTGTAAGTTTCATGGAGACCCAAAGCAAAAACCTAGAATAGATTCACAAGAGATAAGAAAGGGGAAATAGAGCATACTACCATGGAAATCCACTAATTTATAAGGATAGAAACAAAGGGAAAAGAAACAATAGAAATGCAAAAAAAAAAAAACAAAACAGAAAGCAATTAAATTAATAATATCACATTAGTAAGTCTTACATGTCAATAATTACACTAATATAAATAGATTGAATTAACCAATAAAAATAGCACAAAATGGATGAATGGATTAAAATAAAAAACAAGACCCAACTATGTGCTACCTATAAGAGCTTCACTTCAGCTTTAATTAAGAACACACATAGGATCAATGTGAAAGAATGGAAAATGATATTCCATGCAAGTAGAAACCAAGAGAAAGTGAAGCTAACTATACTTATGTCAGAGAAAACAGACTTTAATCCAAAAAACAGTAACAAGATACAAAGAAAGCCATTATATAATGATAAAGGGATCAATTCATCAAGGAGATATAACAATCATAAATATATACACACCCAACATCCACACACTATATATATATATATATATATATATATATATATATATATATATTTAAATCCTAACAAATT